AGGCGTCGGGCACCCCCAACTGGCTCCAGCGGCTCCTCGCCGGGGCGACTGCATCGCGCCTCGGCACACCTTGCCACCCTCTGCTGGGCTGATACCATTTCTGCTGCTGGGTCCATGAGCAGCAGGTGGCTTGCCCGCTGGTGGTGTCCAAGACCGCCTCCCACTCTGGCACCAGCGCTCCTTGCTGCCCTCAGCGGGGCCACTGCCGCCGGCACTGCTAGGTCCCTGAGCATAGCGGGCTCAGCTCGGTTAGAGTGAGTGTCGTTGGAAGAGGCTTGGAACTGCCTAGTAAGGTAAGGTGCTGCTTTTTGCTTCTTAAAAACTGTTCTGGGAGGGGGCTGGAGGGTGGTTTTGGACTGGGGGGGCTTATGTTTCTTTGCTGTGTTGGTGTTTGTTTTTTGGTGATTTTTTTTTTTTTGCAGTCCCAGTGTGGGACTTGCTCTGTTTATTTTTGGTGTTTTGTTTTGTTTTTTTGCAGCCCCAGCGCGTTCCTATGGGGCTTGCGGTGTTTTATTTTTATTTTACTTTTTTGGGTTTGTTTTTTTTTGGTCGGAATGGATTAATCGTGTTCCCATGCATTCCTATGGGAATGCATGCTTTGACTTACTACTATCTCAAGTTACATCCATCTTCTGGAACAGATTATGGTCGTAAGTCGAGACAACACTGTATTTGGAAATGTACACAACATACCCATAGAGTTTTTAGTCCAATATAGCTTTTCTTTTTCAGCTTGCTTAACTCAAAGAAAGTGATATGAAATTGGAACATAGCTTTCCAGTCTGCATTTGGTGGAGCGGGCATGGGAGCATTAAACGAGAGGTTAAAGCATGCGTATGTTTCTCCACTGTATGTGTTGTACCTGCTTACACCTTTGCTTCACCATCTCATTAAGTCCGAAACAGCTCAGAGGGATTATAGCCACATCCAAGCAGTTCTCACTTCTTTGTTCTCTCAGTAACCACTATATACTGTAGATCATATGCTCATCTTCTGGAATTTTCTACCATTGGGTAATTCTATATAAGGAAAATTTCTGATTGGATATGTGGTAGCATATGTATATTTAAACTTTTGTGTTAAAAAGCCAGGAAATTCAGTTCTTCAAAAAACTTCATTTATGAATGTGGGATATTGTGCTTCTGTACCCACAATTCAAAAAGCCAGGAAATGGCACAAAATTGCTGCATAATATCACGCCCACGTTGCCAGCAGGAAAAATGTTGCCAAGCTTTACATAGCAAAGGGCAGCCTGAATGTTGACAACAGCAATGGCAGCAGTCAAGATGGTCTACAGCACTGGTTCTTAACCTTGGGTTACTCAGGAGTTTTGGACTGCAACTCCCAGAAGCCTTCACCACCTGCTGTGCTGACTAGGGTTTCTGGGAGTTGCAGTTCAAAAGCATCTGAGTAACAAAGGTTAAGAACCACTGGTCTACAGGAAACCCTCTTCTGCTCACCAACATTCACGCTTGTGTGACTCCTATTTTGTTGACATTCTGTTTGCACATCTGTGTTATGTAAGGCTGATGATGCCAGCAACTGTTCAGAAATTTTTAAATAATTCTGATTATTCCTGAAGCTCTTGAATCCCTTTGTGTGTCTGGGAGGGCTGTTGGAGTTCATGGGACACAGATAATTTTACGAGTGAGGGTGATTTTGGAAATTAAAGATACCACCCACCCTATGGACCCACAATGGCTTCCTCACAATGGAAGAGATTCTGGGGAACCTCAGGACTTTGTGGTAGGAAGGAATCAAAAAATTTCTGTTTTCAAAAACTCACCATGTTTGATGATACCACCAACCTTCTGCAGCATAGTTCTGCAAACAGGATTTTCAGCCATTAGGTGTTGTTGCCCCACTGCCATTTCTTCACATGATGTACATAAAGTGTACATCATGTGAAGAAATGGCAGTGGAGCTGGGAGAGACTCAGGAAAGGGCAAATTGTTCTGTGACAGTCTTAAATTTTGTTATTACTAGGCCACATTTCCAAGTAAATTTTTAATATTATTATTTATTTAAAATACTTTTACCCCACTTTTCTCCCCAAAAGGACCCAGGGCAGCTGAATTTACGTGTGCCAGTGGCAAAGCTCATTAGGGGAAAGAAAAATGCAATTCACACGTCCCAGCTCATAGCTTCCATGTGTAGCAACTCCTCAACACATGATATATTGGAAAGAGATGCAACCTGTGAAATGTTTTCAAAGTTTTACATGAAATTTTTACTCCTTTGCCTAATTGGCTTGCATGTTGCATTTTCCCAACTGGTGGTCCCCTTTTCTTTGATCTATAGGACTAAGTCACCTCCCTGTGATTACTCAGTTCTGTGATCCTAGCTTCACCTTTTAAAAGTCCTCCAATTCTATCTGTTGTATTCCACAGCAATACTTTGTTAGTCTTTTGAACCAAGCTTTCAAACAAAGGGCAGTTCTGTGTTACACAGTTAAGTCTCAGACTTTAGAGCAAGATACATGCTGGTAAGATAAAAAGGAATGATTGATATAAGAGCTAATAGAGTAAGCTCATCCATTACAGAAGCCCTGAATTGGCAAAGCAAAACTCACATTTAAAGGTACTTATCCTGGTAGGTAACCCTGCCAGCATACTTAATTCTGGATTGGGAATTTTGGACCATTGTCAGCTTAGTCTAATTTATGTAGTCAAATATGTATGAACAGAGTTAAATAGGGTTACCAGAGTTAAATAGGGTTACCAACTCAATAAAAAAGTTTTTGATCTCTGGTTTCTGTTGCAAGAAGTTTCTGTAAAAATCAAATCTGGGCCAGTTGCCTAATTTAACTCTCCCCCCTCCCCCGGCAAATCTAGACTTTCTTGGACAAAAGTCAGTAGCATTTTAATTACTACACAAATCTAAATTATGTGTGTCATGTCAGTAAATTTGTGTGCCAGGTTGTTGACTGGCAAGTGGCAGGCTACTGTGCATAAATGCATGCTCTCCAGTAAAAACCTGTGTCCTCTGGTAACACACAAGTCTCTTGGTGTGTAGAACAGAATGGAATGTGCCTTCCTTCCTTTTAGGATAACCAGCCACTTTCCTACACAGTAAATAGAAACACGCCTGAGTTTGTGAATTGACAAGAGATGCAGCCAAGCCTCCCTTTGATAAATATGAGAGGTACCTACAGACAGTCTTCTCATTCACATATTACATCTTTCAGTGTATAGATACTTGTAACATGCAAGTCTAGTAATGTGTGCATAAAAGGTAATGTACACATGAATAAAGGGTAATGTTTATATACAAAGTAGTCAACTAGTAAGCACACACAGGGTTTGTTACCACTTAGTTTTGATTCCATTTGTTTAATATTAAATGCTCAACTTTTAATGTGCCTTATTTTTATTATGCTGTGAGATTGAACAAAAAGCTCATCCTGTTGACAGACTATTCCAAGGATAATGTATTACAGCGCAAAGGGGATTACAACCCCTCCTTTTAGATCTATTCAAAGTTTTTTTTTCATTCCCTGCTTTTAGTTTCCTGTAACTTGGCAGTTTTCTACTATGAAACCAACCACTGGAACCTTAACTGCTTGCATGTTTATTGTCCAGCATTGGAGAGCTGTATACTGAAGCCTAAAATCAACGTTGTGTTATACAACATCACAGCAGGTAAGGTATTCTCAAGAGAAGGTTGTGTGCCATTTACAAATATGTGTTAAAATATTTTTTTCCAAATTAAAGGACACTTTAGAAGACAGAAATTTGGAGCACATGGGGATAGAGGACGTAACCATACTCCACACTGAATAATTTCTGACTAGCGCTTCTCTGAATTATTTTATTTAAGCTGCTATTGTTAAAAAAAAATGGGGGGGGAAAGACCTCCCTTACATCCATCTTGCCATGAACTTTTGGAATTTTTAAGTTCTTCACACTGGTACAAGCATGATGAAGTAGTGCTTTGATCCATGAAAGCTCGTGTACTGTATGATGATTTTTTTAAATGGTCTACAAAAGTATCACCTATTTTTGTATTTTATTCTGTTTGAACCACATGGTCTCCCTTACATTTGTTCATTAAGATGCATCATTAGCTCCACAAAAGTACCAGAAAGTTTGCATTATACATCAAAACAAGATAAAAGTAAAGAAAAAATAATAAAAGAACAAATAAAAAGAATAAAATGTAGTGGCACCTTAAAGACTGTCATTTTTTTTCAATGTGAGCTTTCGTGAACTTTGCATTTCCAATGTGCCTAAATTTATTTATTTAGTTATTTAT